AAATCAAACGAATATTCGTATTTGACCTGATTGTTTATAGTTCATAAGGAGTGATCAAAACCAAAAGTTTCTGTGATGACTGCCCTTGTACTGTTCACCATGTAAGAACTTATTCACTATGTAAGAATTTGTTCACCATGTAAGAACTTGTTCATTATGCTTCAGAAGATTGGAGACTGATGAGAATTAGGCTGGGGGTGGATTAATGATTGTGTATTGAGCATTGACTCCCCTGTAGAGAATTTTATTGTTGTTAACAACCATTTGATCAATAAATATGAGAGATGCCCTCTCAAAAAAATGAAAATCCCCCAAGGACCACCCCACAAACAGACAGAACCTAAGATGATATTTGAGAAAAATTATTTTTGAGATCTGGTTACTCAGTGGTTGGTTACCCAGTGCTTTTTTTAAGCAGGCAATCCATTGTCTCTAGGCAAACATGCTTTGCTTTGTCAGTCTGGAAAAGGGGTCAGGAGGAGCAGCCTCTAGCTCCAGCCCACGGACCAAGGGTGTTGAGGGCAGAGGGGCTGCTTCATGCTTGCTCCTCCAGCTTAGGCAGTCTGCCCACTCCTGATGTACTCGTTTCACTTCCTGCCAGGCTTTCTTGGCAATACAGGTGCTGGAGATCAATGCAGGAAGAGTTGGTGAGGATCAAGCTCCCACCATGTTAACCATGACTGTTTTGAGGTAATGTCCTTTAAGATCTCGATAACGGGAAGTCCTGGAGGAGGGTAGGAAAAGTTCCTCCTCTCTTGGATGCAAAACTTAGGGCCAATATTCCAGTGAATGCAATAATTTTTTATTTATTTCTCTTCCTATTTATAGTCTCCCCATCTGCAACATGAGGGAAAAGAACCAACTCACAAGGTTGCTTTAAGGATTAATGAAAAGGCACCTTTTTGTAAATATTCATACAAACAAAATTGACTAATGATCTATCTCATTTTTAAAACTTAAAGGAGTGGGAAGGAAAATATAGAAGAGTAGGAAGGTAAGGTGGGAACTAGGTTGATGGACACAGAATGAAAGTAGCAGGGAACATCAGCTAGGACCTTGGTCCTGTGAGACCAAAAAATAATTTGTAAGCAGCGAAGAGAGGCACCCACTGAGGGTGTGGTGCTGTAAGCTGGAAAAGCACCTGTGCTCTTGCCCACCTGCTAGTGTGCCCATGGAATGTTTCCCCCTCCCTACTGCCCCAAGCCCTCCTGCCCTCTGCATCTCCCCCACTGCAGAGTGTCTTGGGCCCCTACATCCTAGGCCTGTTTACATTCAAACTTGCCCTCCCTGAGTGGGATCCTGAGCAGTTGGTGGAGGAGGCTGCTTTCTCATCCTGGCCTTGGTTCTCCATCTGGAATGGCCAAGTGGCTGCGGTCAGATCTCAGCCTGTGGGGATGACTTCAGGAGGAGGTAAGGCCTGAAGGCTGGGTGGGAGTGTTTCAGGGGCCACCACCCACTGGTCCCTGGGATTCAAATGTGACTGTTATCCCAGCACAGTGGTTAGACCATCAAGGGAGGAGAGAGCTCTGGGCCCTAGGGTATGTCACCTGGGGGGTGGGGGAGGGCCTCTGGAAACCTTAGGAAGCCCTGCGGAGGTGGCTTCTGGAGGTGGGTCAGGTGACACATGGGAAGTGCCCTGAGCAGGGAGAAGGGACTGCCGCCCACACACTGCTGCTTTCTAGAAACTCAAGCTGTGGGCCCTGCATTTGGGGAGGTTCTGGTGGTGGTTTGGGGGGATTCCAGGAAAGCCCAGTCCTGAGTCCTCCTCATGGGCACAGGGCTGGCCCCACGATATCCTCCCAAGAGATCTGAACTGGACTTTACCAGACCCCACAGTGCACTAGGAGAGGTAGAGAGACTTGGTCTGAGCCAGAAAATTGTCCAGGGGCCCAATCTGTGGCCAAGTCTGCAGGCACATGTCCTCTCCACCAGGAAGGCCACAGTGTCCCCTAACTGCTGAAGCCCAGACCTCCAACCCTCCCTCCAGCCAGAGCTCCTCTCCTCTGGGCAGTGGGCTGTTGTTGGGCTCAATGGGGACAGGGCAGCCAGGTGATGCCAGCAGGATAGGGCTTGGGGTCCTGATTCATCCTGAATCCTTCTCCCTGTGAGGAGACTCAGTTCTGCAGAGCCACTTCCTCCTGTCCAGTGTCTCATGAACTTGAGCTTTGCCTTTCACCTTTGAGATGAGGTGTTTGCTTGTGTGCGAGTCACTAACCCAGGGATGACAGTGGATGTAGAGTATGGTTGCTTGTCCCGTGGAACATCTATACATGCTGATTCCTTTCCAAAGCAGAGGGATCCTCCCCTGACTGCCCACTGCTCTCCATTCCCAGCCCTTTTCCAGGCTCTGCAGCCACACTGGCTGTCAAGTGACGGAATTCAGGGCACACGAGAATTCCCCCAGTGACCCTCTCGGGAATGGAGCTCCTGAGTGGTGGCAGGGCCCCTGGCCTGTGTTAAGGGTGTGTTGTGGGTGGTTCTGGATGGGTTATGTCAGGGTCCTGGGGCCTTTCCTGTGCAGAGGGACCTTTCAATTGCATTGGTGTGCTGTGTCAGGCAAGAAAGAGAGGGATTTAAGTGGGCATGGGCACCGCAAAGCAGAGGGGCGTGGGCCCTGGTGTTTTGACACTGCCGGTTCTCAAGGCCCCATGCCCTGGACCATACCTGGGATGAATGCCCTGCGGCTTACAGGCTGTGGTTGGGGTCGTCCATGCAGGCAGGTGTCTGCAAGTCTTGTGTGGAGAGAGCCATGAGGCCAGGGCCAGGTGGCACAAACGCAGCACCTGCTGGGAGGTCTCTTCTTGGTAGAGTGGGCCGGGGGCCCAGGTGGGGCAGACATTTCCAGGGGAATGGTCTCAGCTGGTCGGGGCCTGACTGTCCCCTGTAGACAGCTGTGCCCTGTCCGGTTCCACCAGCAGACCAGCCCCTGAGTGCCGAGCACCCTTCCCAGGACAGATTCTCTCAGCACCTCTCCTGTCTTGACAGTGTATCCAGTGCTGGGCCCGCAGGGGACCATGAACCTTGGCACCTTTGCGTCATCTTTCACAATGCTGCCCTCAGCCCCTCCTGTCCCCGGCCCCCCACACTGGGCCCCCTGGCAGCAGCACCCACCGAACCTCCTGGGCCCAGTGTTGCTTCCAGGAAGCACCCTGGTGCTGCTGGCTTTCCCCAGCATGCCATTGGTGGCAGAACAGGCCAGCTGTGGCCCAGGCTGGCCTGGGGCCTGCAACATCACTGTGCAAGTCAGGCCAAAACAGAGGCCCATGCAGGCCCCCCAGGCTCAGACCTTTGTTGTGATTCAGGCCCCTCTCCATGGAAGCACTCTTGGGGCCCTCTGTGGGGGTGCTGTGTGTCCTGTGCCCCAGTTTTTCATGGTCTCTGCACTGAAGCCCATCCTGCCCACCCCTTCTGCCAAGAGCACCCAGGCTAGTGATGGAGGCTGGTCCCTGCACCGTCCACCTCAAGCTGTAGTGCCAGGTGCCCAGCTGGCCTCTGGCGAGCTCCCAGCAATGGCCAGGCCTCATCCACCTGGGGCTGCTAGGAACAGCAGCCTGGCCTGCTCGCAGCCCACCGCCTCGTCCGGGAACACCTGCCACTGCACCAGCATGTACGAAAAGTTCTGGCGCTGGCAGCACTACAAGCCCCTGGCCCGCAGGCACCTGCTCTGGAGTCCCGATGCGGAGGCACTGTCCTGCTTCCTCATGTGAGTGCCTTCAGACGGGGAAACCATGGTGCCTGCCCTGGATCAAGGGTGGTGTCGTCCTTGCTCTGACCAGGCTGGTTGTTGGGAGATGGTCACTTGTGGTGGTGACATCCATTAGGCCGCATCTTGCAGGCGGCCCCTGTGAGCCAGCTGGCCACTGGCTGCAATGCTCACCACAGGCTCGCTGTGGGCTCACAGTGAGACCCCTGGCCGGCAGGCCCAGGGTTGGAGACCACACTCGCTGTGCTCTGTCCCCTTTTAACACTTGGCTGAGGGGATGATGCCTGCACATCCCATCAGGGAGGCAGGGGACCCCAGGGCCCAGGAGACAGCTCTCTGCCCAGCTGCCCTCCTGGGTGCAGGGTCCAAGCCAGGAGAGGTAGGGGGTACTGGTCCGGGGGGGTCGGCACACTCAGAGCCCAGAGCAGGGCAGCCCCACCATGGCCGGGCCCCTCCTGACTGGCCACTCCACTGCATTCAGAGCCCTGCAGAGCACACGCCTTGGGCCATGTAGGCAGGGTGTCCGATGGCATGGCCTGTGCTCACCCATTTGATGCCTGTCGTTGTTAGCCAGAAAGGGCCAATTTGAGGAGCAGCCCCACTCTCCAGGCCACAGTGATCAGCTGCAGTGTGAGGACATGGGCAGCCACAGTCCATGGTGGAGGCTTGTGGAGTCAGGTGGTGACCACAGTGGCTGGAAAGGCTGGCCTGTGCTGCCCAGACCCTGCTGGTCCCCTCATGGGCTTAGTCCTCTGTGTTGGGGATGCGGGCTCCACGGTGTGGGATGGTGCGGGCAGGTTCCAGGCTGCAGATGGTGACTGACCCCAGTGGGTGCATTACAGCCCAGTGCTTCGGATCCTGGCCTGCCTGAAGACCACCATTATGCTGGAGGAGGGCCTGTGGTGGGGCGTGCAGGAGTGGCAGTGTCTAAGCAAGTCTGAGCGCAGGATCTACTATGAGATGGTGGGAAAGTGAATCAGGGCCCTGGGCCAAGGGCTGGATGAAGACCTGCATCCCTCTGGAAGCATGCCCCCCTGTGGGGGCCCAGCCTATGGTCGAAGCTGAGCCCCACTCTAGCTGGACAATGCCCTAAAGATGGCACCTGCTTCCCTTTCCCCTCTTCCCTGTTGGGGATTGGCCCAGCAGACTTCCGTACCCGTGCACAGCTCGTGCTGCCCGCTTAGAGTGGCGCGTGACACCTATCCGCTTAAAGGTCACACATGATACTGTCCCGGATTGGTTGGGTGACTGAAGAATATAAGGGAGCCCGCCGGGAGGGAGAAGAGCTTCCCGACAACTGCTGTAACCTCCATGAGAGATTAGACAATAAAGCCTAGAGAAGAATCAAGACCTTGGGCGTGTTGCTTCGGTCCCTGAAGGGTCGCGACAAGTGGTGCCGAAACCTGGGAATCGCTAAACCTCGTTGCGACCTGATCCGCTGACCCTGGTGCCTGCTGATGAACGTCGCTGGACGCCGTTTGGTCGGCTGGCCAGACCGGGAGAGGGAACCGAGGAGGGTGAGTGCATCGGCGAGTAAACTGAAAGTATACGTGGCAGGGCAGACGGCAGGCAGTTGCGGTGGGTGTTTATGTGTAGTGTGTGTGTCCTGTTAGTGTTTGTGACATTGTTTATTATAATATATGGAATGAGGAGGCGCCAGTGAAGGTTCGCAGAGCAGCGACGAAATCAAAAGGTTCGCAGAGTGGCGACGAAATCAAAAGGTTCGC